AACCGTCTTTAGACGTTGTACTTACAGCGTTTGATTTACGATGGGTCCTTGACAGCTGCAAAAACCATTGCTTCGTTTTTGTACCCGTCAAGTAATGAACATGCGTATGTGAAGAATGCCTTAGATTCTCCGTCATTCTGGACCCCCATCTATGCAATCCCAGGCACTGACCTATATCTAGGGTTTCCAACCTCAAGGTGATAAACAACAAAATACAACTGTGACATAATAACTATATCCTTGTATTATCAAGGGCCGCGGTGGCTCAGAGGTTAAGCCGCTGAGTTGCAGACTGAAAGGTCGGTAGCTTGGTAGTTCGAGACCCGAGTCCCGCGTGACGGAGTGAGCTCCCGTCTCTAGTTCCAGCTCCTGCCAACTTAGCAGTTTGAAAGCAAGAAATTGCAAGTAGATAAATAGGTACCACTTCGGTGGGAAGGTAACAGCGTTCCGTGCACCTCGGCATTTAGTCATGCCAGCCACATGCCCACGGAGAAGTCTTCAGACAGTGCTGGCTCTTTGGCTTGGAGACGGAGATGAGCACTGCCCCCTAGAGTCAGGAAACCTTTACCTCTATTTTACTGTATTATCATAGCTTAGTGTTACTCCTTCACCTTTTCACAACCAATATTTACAAACATTCCACCAAACTTCTAGGGGTGAATGCATGCCAATAGATACATTTATGCAAACAGTCCTATTTTGTGGTCCATTTTTCTTTTCATTTTTCTTCCGTGTTGTAGTTTTACATAGACCATCTAACAAACCAGATACCACTTGATGCTTTAATAAATAAGACTGTATTCAGCCACAAGCTGGGAATCTATATAACAGTTAACAATGGAATATTAAAACCTGGAGAAATCATTCTTTGTGGGATCTACCTGGATGAAGCACTGAATCGGTGTCCGAGCTGTCCTGTTGTGGAAACTGCAGGAGGGGCTATGTAAGACGATAACACGGACGAAAAAAGAAAATAAAAACAGACCACAAAATAGAACTATTTGCATTCATGTATCTATTGGCATTTATTCAATCCTTAGAAGTCTGGTGGAAAATTCGTAAATAGAAACTTTTGTTGACTGTTGTCACGGCTCAGGTGGGGTGTCACCTGACGCTGCCACCACTCTGGATTTAGGATCCCTTGAGAAGGCCCAGAGCACCCTCCCAAGACCTTCTGACCTCCCTTTTGGCCGAATAACAGGCGTGAGGACCAGGCAGAGTGAACAATGAAAATAGTTTATTTTATAGGAGGTCAAACAAATAAGGTGCAGAATAATAACAGTAAGTGGGTGAAAACAAATCAAATGCCCTAACGGGTCTAAATATATACTGTCCCTAGCTCACTATTCCAAGTGACACTAGACTACTCATCCTTCCCTCAGGATGAGGGTCTCTTCCCTGCAGCAGCCTTCCTTCTGGCTCTGCCCTCTGGGAAGAAGAACAGCTTTTCCTGCTGCTCCAGATCTTTTATTCCAAGCCCTCCTCTTTTCCTATTGGTCACTTTTGGCTCCAAAACCTCTCAGGGGCTCCTGGGAGTTGTAGGCCCAGCCTCCCCTACTGCTAGCCAGGCTCCCTGGGCCTAGTAGGCCTCTGGTGGAACAGCCCAGATCATGACAACTGTGAAAAGGCAAAGGGGTTACACTAAGCTTTGATAATACGAAGATATGCTTATTATATCACAGTTGTGTTTTGTTGCTTACCATTCCAACCTGTGATTTCTCTTCCTTTAAAACCTCCAGGTGGCGGCTGGAGATCTGGCATTACAGCTGGTTTCCAGGCGACAAAGATCAGTTCCCCTGGAGAAAGTGGCCACTTTGGAAGGTGGCCTCTGTGGCATTATACCCTCCACAAACCCTGCCCTCCTCAGCCTCCACCCTTAAAATCTCCAGGCATTTCCCAGCCTAGGCTGTGTTGGGAGCCCTATGTCTCCCTTTCACCCAAGTTCTCCCCTTCAGTGACCATTGCAAAGAAGAAGAAGAGATTGGATTTATCCCCCGCCCTTTACTACCCGAAGGAGTCTCAGAGCAGCTTACAACCCCTTTCCCCTCCCCACAACAGACACCCTGTGAGGTAGGTGGGGTTGAGAGAGCTCTTTTGAGGACTGCCCTTTCCAGAACATCTCTGAGAAAACTTGTGACTGACCCAAGGTCACACCAGCAGCTGCATGTGGAGGAGTGGGGACTCAAACCCGGTTCTCCCAGATTAGAGTCCACGCTCTTAACCACTACATCAAACTGGAATGGAACAACCTGTGTCCCTGGAGACCTGCAGCCCCCCTGACGCCGCTTGTTCCCTTCTCCTCTCCGCAGGATGTGAAGCTCCCCGACGCCTACGAGCGCCTCATCCTGGACGTCTTCTGCGGGAGCCAGATGCACTTTGTCCGCAGGTATGTGGCTCAGGACTGAGGACAGCAGAACTGAGGACAGGACTGGGGGTGTGCATGTTGTGAGTGAGATGCCAGGGTCTATCCTCCGACTAAGAACACGCTTCACCCATCTCACAAAGTAGGCCACGGTCTGCTGCAAGAGTCCTGTTGTTCGCTGCACAAAACTGTCACATTTCAGAAACTGCTGAAATAATTAGATGTTGTAGACTTTCCGGGCTGTATGGCCGTGGTCTTGGCATTGTAGGACCTGACGTTTCACCAGCAGCTGTGACTGGCATCCTCAGAGGTATAGCACAGAAAGACGGAGTACTCTCTGTGTCAAGGTGAGAAGGAAAATGGTAGGCAGGTAATTTATATCTACTCAGGAAGGTGGGGGTAGGGCTGAGACGTTATCTTGCAAGTGTTCCCCAAGCTGTGAAACATGCAGGTCATTTATATCGACTCAGGTCCAAGACCATGGCCATACAACCCGGAAAACCTACAACAGCTAATAAAAAAATGAAAGTTGCAAATAAAAAACAACCGTAGAAAACATAGTAACATTGAAAACTAATACAGTCACATATTTTCATCATACACAGTAGATTATTAATTTTGGACAAAATCGCATTTAATGGAATGTAGCCTTGAAATCAGCGCATGCATACAGTAGTACACGCAGGGATTATCACTGTGTAATGCTGTAGAGGAGGGAAGGCGATATGTGTAGCCTGATCTCATCAGATTTTGGAAGCTAAGCAGGGTCGGTACTTGGATGGGAGACCAACAAGGAAGACTGTGCAGAGCAAGGCAATGGCAGATGACCTCTTTTTCTCACGTGCCTTGAAAGCCCCTTGCTGGGGTCACCATAAATTGGAAGCTAAGCGGGGTCGGTACTTGGAAGGGAGATCACCAAGGAAGGCTCTGCAGAGGAAGGCAATGGCAAACCACCTCTACTTCTCACTTGCCCTGAAAGCCCCTTGCTGGGATCGCCATAAGTTGGAAGCTAAGCGGGGTCAGCCACCAAGGAAGGCCCTGCAGAGGAAGCTAATGGCAAACTACCTCTGCTCATTTGCCTTCAAAACCCTTGCTGGGGTTTGCCATAAGTTGGCTGTGACTTGACCACACTTTATACACACAGGCACGCACACGCACACACGCAATCCTGGAGATTCCTTTCTAGAATGCGTACTGTGACAATTTGAATGAGTAAAATCAGAGAGCCAGTTTGGTGTAGTGGTTAAGTGCACAGACTCTAATCTGGGAGAGCCACTCCTCCACTTGCACCTGCTGATGTGACCTTGGGTCAGTCACAAGCTCTGGCACAGCTGTTCCTGAAAGCCGTTTCTGTCAGAGCTCTCTCAGCCCCACCTCCCTCACAGGGTGTCTGTTGTGGGGAGGGGGAGGGAAAGGAGTTTGTCAGCCACCCTGAGACGCCTTTGGGTAGTGAAGGGCAGGGTATAAATCCAATCTCTTCTTCTTCTTCTTCTTTTACCTCACAGGGTGTCTGTTGTGGGGAGGGGAAGGGAAAGGAGTTTGTGAGCCGCTCTGAGACTCCAAGTGAAGGGAGGGATATACATCCAATCTCCTCCTCCTCCTCTTCTTCTTCTCTAAAACCTTGTCTTAAACAGAATTCCACTTATTCCAAAACAAAATATTCTTCAGTGTTCCCCCCCCCCAGACTTCCAGTCGTCCAGTTTGAAGGGAGGGGTTGATCCGAGGGGGAGGGGTTTTCAAACGGTGAGAAAGGCAGTCTATAAATGACGCAAATGGACAATTAATTAAAATCTCAGTGGCCCTGCCAGTCCCGGGCCAGCAGCTTCAGCCGAGCTCCTCGCAAAGCCAGGCTAACGTTGTCTTCTTCCCTGCAGCGATGAGCTCCGTGAGGCCTGGCGTATCTTCACTCCGTTGCTCCACAAGATTGAGGCTGAGAAGAGCAAACCTATTCCCTATCGCTACGGAAGGTAAATTTGGAAGAAGAAGAATGTGTTGGGGGGTTTTTTTTGGGGGGGGAGGTATTTTACAAATCTACAGATGGGGTTTGTATTGTATATACACACACACACACGCTCAGGACATTTTCTATGAACGCCAGGCTGCAGGGCAGTCAAGCCACTGGGATTCTGTTTTGAGTCCTTAAAGCATGCAGGGCAGAGGTCCCTAAGTTTTTAAGCCTCTGGGCATCTCTGGAAATCTGACCAAGCTCGGTGGGTGCGGGCCCAAAAAAGGCTGCCACGAAATGGCTGCCACAGAAGGCAGAGCCAGCCACAAAATGGCCACTGCTGCTTACCTTCAGCCACTCAGGGAAGACTGCTGTGCTGTGGGGGCAGGCAGCTGCAGCCAAGTTTTTAAAATCTGTGCAGCCAATCAGACGCCTTGCTGGGCAAGAGCCCCACCCGGCCCCTCCCACTTCCTATAAACACTTTGCGGGTGACAGGAAAGGTGTCAGCAGGTGCCGTGGTCACTGTTCCCTCCGAGCTGAGTCAGTGTGAGCTAGCTCCGAGTTTCTTAGCCTCCGGCTCTCACCTTTTTGTCTCAGCTCAGGAAGGAGGGCTCCAGAGCAAACTAATTTATGCAGTAGCCAAATCGCTCGCTCACAACTTGACACCACAGCTTAGAAGGGAGCATTGCTCACAAGACACCACAGCTTAGAGGGAGCATTGGCCGTGCACAGTTTTGGGAACCCCGGGTGTAGGGATTGCTTTTTCCCGCCCTTTTATAGAGCTTGTTCCAACCTATTTTAGGATGGCGCTTGTGCAGCTTTGCCGACATAGAACAATGTCGAAATGTATTGCAATTTTAAGAAGAAACCAGTTTCAAGGAAGTTTGTTTTATTTTTCTGTACTGCTTTTCTCTTGTTGCTCAAAGCATTTTGCAATACACCAAGCAAATGGTCAACCCCTGTCCCCATGACTGCCCCACCGCTGAGAGAATGGTTTTTAACGTCCTGAGAGCTAAACGGAGTGGCCTGGTGCTGCCTGGCCTCTTGTGAGAGGGTGCCATTAAGCTGGTCGGTGTACCACACAGGTTGGGGGAGGGCCGTGCAGTTTTACAGAAGTTTTGATTGGAGTAGAGCAGCACTCTTCAGCCTCTCCTGATTCAGGTCCACTTTAAATACCCAAACGGTATGCACATATGTACACAGGTGTTCATGACCCTGGGTCTATCAAGGTCAGTCTTGTCTACTCAGACTGGCAGCTGTTCTCCAGGGTCTCAGGTCAAGGTCTTTCACATCACTTCCTGCCTGGTCCTTTCAACTGGAGATGCCGGGGATTGAACCTGGGACCTCCTGCATGCCAAGCAGAGGCTCTGCCACTGAGCCAGTGTCTCAGGTCAAGGTCTTTCCCGTCACCTCCTGCCTGGTCCTTTGAACTGGAGGTGTTGGGGATTGAACCTGGGACCTTCTCCATGCCAAGCAGGGGCTCTGCCACTGACCCAGGGTCTCAGGTCAAGGTCTTTCTCATCACCTCCTGCCTGGTCCTTTGAACTGGAGGTGTTGGGGATTGAACCTGGGACCTTCTCCATGCCAAGCAGGGGCTCTGCCACTGACCCAGGGTCTCAGGTCAAGGTTTTCCTCATCACCTCCTGCCTGGTCCTTTTAACTGGAGATGCCAGGGACTGAACCTGGGACCTCCTGCATGCCAAGCAGAGGCTCTGCCACTGAGCCAGGGTCTCAGGGCAAGGTCTTTCACGTCACCTCCTGCCTGGTCCTTTCAACTGGAGATGCCGGGGATTGAACCTGGGACCTCCTGCATGCCAAGCAGAGGCTCTGCCACTGAGCCACAAGCCCCTCCCTGAGACCCACTGAATTGCCACTACACCGCCGGAAGTCTCATGACCTCACTGATGGTGATGGAGATGTCGCAGTATTGGTGTTCTGATGGGCGGGAGGACAAGCTTGGCCAGGGAAAGGG